ATTAGGTATTTTTGTCATGACAGGAGTCCAGAACAAAGGCTGCATAGTGGAATGGACCTGAGGGGAGGGATTGTAAAACAATGAAAGAATTTTTCTTTTACTTTTCAAAGAGAAGGTGGGAGGGAGGAGCAGGGGAAAAAGTGCAACACTCTTATCTCTAGGCAACAGTTTCAGGGATTTTTATAGTCTTCACATTTCTAGAAAATCTGGAATCCATAAGAATTTTTAATTCTGAGCAGCTCTACTATTTATCAGTGCAATTTTTCCATTACTTAAAACTGGAAGTTAGTGCTCTATAAACAACAACTCCCCCTACTCCTGCTATTCTACATCCTTGGTAACTTTGGTCCTTATACATTTGCCTGTTCTTACCTTTAATACAACTGAGACAATACAAATCTGTCTTTATGTAATTGACTTGTTTCATTAGCATTAATACTTTCAAGCTCCATCTTTATTGTGGAATTTATCAAAACATATTCTTCTGTCAGTTAAATGTTTAAGTTCAGATTTTCAGATGTGAATGTTTAAGTGTGAGTTTTTCAAGTCCCAAATTTAATGTGCTTGTCTGTGAAACTCCCTAAACCCCCAGATTCAGCTTACTTAAAAAGGTAGCAAAACAAGTTTGGGACAATAAATTAGCAGCTGATCTCCATTTCCATTCCTAAGAGAGCCATCATTTTTACTTATGAATGTATGTATGTATGTATGTGTACACACACACACATCCCTTCTGAAAGTCCACTTGCGTGGACTTGAACTTGCTGGTGACAGGACCAGGCAGGATTTTGTACATATAAGGCTGCCATGAGTCAGCATCAACTCAATGACAGTTAATAACAACAAAGTCCTTTTCTAAATAACAAAAACCTCATCATAATCTCACAGATTACTTACTGACATTACAACCTCGCCACCCACAACATCACAGCTGAAATTTGGTGATTGTTTTGACCGAGTAATTACGATGTTTATCAGATTCCAGAAGTGCAACAACGGTTATCCTTTTTGCTTTTGTTGAGTCTTGTTAGCTAGTGTCTTTGTGAAGCAAATTATGGATGGGTTTTGATTTTTCCCATGTCATCTTAGACTACAAGGAATATGAATGCCATTTGGTAACTGAACCAAGATTCTTGAGAAAAGGAAAAGCACTTAAATAGCTATTATTGAGTCTTTAGTTTCAAAACTAAAAATGCTGTTTCTTCTATGTCAAAATTCCCATGGTAGAAGTTTGCTAGAAATCCTTAAAAAAAATGAAGATTCTTCCCTTGCAAAGGGAAAATGTGCATTTATTTACTCACAGAAAATTATAATCACTCACTCATTTTTCCAACATCTATTGAGAATTTACTAAGTGCAAATCACGGAGTGCTTAGCATGTGACATAGTATCTACGATAGCATTTATCATAGCCTAGGTCCCCAATTCGTCATCCTCCTGGAAATATAAGAAGCCTATGAGATACTAATTCCTTGTGTTTGAAGTAACATTTAACAGTTATTATTAAGAGTGAAATAATTCTGCTTCACAAAGAATCAAAATCTTATTTTTGTACGCAGACATGTACATAAACATTTTTTTTTCCTCTCTGGCTAAAAATTATTTACACATCTGTGTTCAAGATTAAGGATAATGAAATTCAACCACAAAAACAAGTAAATAATATATAATTGTAGGGTTGGAATTTATCAGTGTGGAGTGGTTGTCTCCATATACACCTTCCTTTTGATCTCTTTGTAGACGTTATTGTTATTGACTGCAAATGCCTCCGTATTTTTGCTCATCGGAATGTGATTTGACAGATTAATTATATGTTATCAGGCAATTGAAGATGAGCTAAAGCTATGTGGATACAAGCGGGATGCTGATGTCTTTGAGCTGTTCCTTTGTCAAAAGTAAGTTTAATTGATGTAAGAATTAAAATATCATTTTGTGTTTCATAGATTAAAATATTCTTCTCCATGGTTTTTCCTTCAAGGACTAAAGGGGTAAATACCATATTAATTCTGATTACTTTATCCTTCACTGAGATCAATAATCTCTATTAGAGAGACTATTTTCCAGTTGGGTATGAATGTTACTATGATTAATATTGTTATATTGGAGTTCTAAAGTTCCGGTGGTCGAGTGGTAAAAAGCAGTGTTGAAATCCCAAATACAAGCAGTTCAAATCTACCAGCTGCACCAGAGGAAAAGGATGGGAAATCTCCTTCCATGAAATTTACTGCCTCTGAAAACCCGTTAGAGGGTCAGCTATTTGTTGGTTCCGCCTTGATGGCATGTATAAACATCAAGGGATTTCTGATGTCCTAGGAGTTGCATTGCCAACCCAAAGTTATGTTGTTGTTGTTGTTGTTAGGTGCTGTAGAGTTGAGTACGACTCATAGTGACGCTATGAACAGAATATCTGAACCCTGTTCTTTAACTGTTGTAGATAGGTGGTTCAAATCCACCAGCTGCTCTGAGGGAGAAAGATATACAGTCTCTTTCCATGCTGCTTACAGCCTCTAAAAACTTGCTAGAGGGTCAGCTCTGAGTCTATCTCAATTCGACCTCATATAACAAGATTATTATGAAATAGTAATGATTATTAACCTTTTACTGGTAAATGGAAAACTCTTTTCTTATAACAATAACTCTTCTTGATTTTATTCAAATTCCCTATAGTGGCAGATGATAGAACAGTATGCTATTCAGAGCAGTGTTTGTTTGTTTGTTTCCTACATTATAAGACAGAAACTACATGTAAGAACAGAAAATATGATGGGTAGGTTTGGATCCAGACCCTACAGTTGTTCCTAGTCAATAAATAATACTATCTGGAGCCAGAGTTGTATTTTAATAGCCCTATTATTTTCTCTCCTTTCATGATTTTTAATCCATGTGAATTCTCTGTACTATTTTAAAATAAGCTCAGTGTAATTTTTACTCATAAGCAATTTATGGATATTAGCTATTTTTTAAAGAAAATGCTACTTTATAGGTGAAACCATGTTATCAAATAATGATTTTTATCACATTATAAAAATGATTATTTTTATCTTGTTTTTTGTTTCTTATTAATAAATGTTATGTACATGTTATTTTAAATTCTAATTAATCAGAAAACATTTTCTCATTTAATGGCCATTTTTCTCTTGATAATAAATGCATTTAAGATATCTTTAAATATTTAGTGACTTTCAGATAACTTAAAAATTTCAAATAGAGCAGATTGACATGGAATTCTGATACACTTAATGCCATGCGTCAAATCTTTCTATAAATTGATTACTTTCATAATAGTGGTAAACGTTTTGCATGCTTACAAGCACACATATCTAAATCTCCCCTGATTTTTACAATTGTACATTTCTGATTAGGAGGTAAGAATGTTGTTGTTGTTGTTGTTGTTGATTGCTGTTGAGTTGAGTATGACTCACAGTGACCCTATGAACCAAAGGCCTGAAGCCTTTCTAGAACTATTGTCATTTATCAAATTTCATAGAATTTCCAAAGGCATGTTGTTTAGGAAGTGGATGCCACTCCTGCTTCCAAACCTGTCTTAAACTGGGAGTTCCACCAAACACTGTCCACCTTGGATAAGTGTTATGGCATTTGACACTCCAATGGCACAAGGTTCAGCACCACAGCAATATATTACAATAAAATTAATTTTAAAATATTAGAAAAAATAGAAATACTGATTTTCCAGCATTAGGATCTTCTTGTGTGAAGATTAAAACATATTTCCTATCCTAAGAATGTTGTTGTTGTTATGTGCCATCGAGTTGACTTTGACTCATAGCAACCCCATGTTCAACAGCTCTAAATCCTACTATAACCTGAGCCAATTTCTCTGTCTCTAATATAACTATATACATGTATGACATGTGATATATTCATTGTGAACACTTATATAAATGTTTTTATCATATAATATTTAATTTATTATGTGATTTTAAAAAATTAAATGGTAACAATACATGAGTACTTCACCAAATACACAAGAATTCAATTGTGTGGAATACTATACAGCATTGAAAAACAAGGAACTCATGAAATATTATGCAGAATGGATGACCCTGGAGGACATTATGCTGAGTAAAATATCTCAGTCACAAAAGGACAAATATTGCATAGGGCCACTGTTGTAAAATGGGACTGACATCAGGATTGAGGGAAGACAAAAAAGGAGGGGAGGAGTGCTGTATATTGCATTGAAACAGATGAGGGAGAGAACTGTTTAAAAGGGACACATGAATTGGTATTCTTGTCATTGCAGATGTCCAGAGTGAAGACTGCATAGTGGAGTGGACTTGGGAGGAGGGATTGCATAACAATGAAAGAGTTTTTCTTTTTCTTTTCAAGGAGAAGAGTGAATTGGTCCAAAAAGGGGGGTGGGGGGGACAGAAAGAAAAGTGCAGCAATGAATGACTGGAAACCCTAAGTCTCTGTAAACGTTCATTTAAAATAATTTTTTTAAAAGTTAAAAAAAATGCAATTGTGAATCAAAGAAACAAATATGTGTGGAAAAAGACAGCAAAAAAACTTAAAATCATCAGCAGAACAAGATCAGAGGCCAGCTGGGCACCATCAATTTTTCATATGCAAGTACAAATTGAAGATGAAGAAAATTAATCAAGAATCAATATGTTGTTGTTGTTATGTACTGTCGAGTTGCCTGTGACTCATAGCAACCCTATGTACAACAGCCCTAACTAAACTCTACCCTATCCTGTGCCAATCTCACCATCTCCAACACACTTATGCCCATTATTACCCCAGTCCCCAGTCACTGAATCAATCCGTCTCATCAGGGTCTTCCTTTCCTGCACTGTCCGTCAAACCTCCCAAGCTTGATGTCCTTCTCCAAGGACTGGTCCTTCCTTGCAACATGTCCAAAGTATGTCAGACAAAGCTTCAGAATCCTTGCCTCCAAGGAGCAGCCCGGCTTCACCCTCTTCAGGACAAACATTTTCATTTTCCTTGCAGTCTATGTTCAATACTCTTCTCCAACACCACTGCTCAGAGGCATCAATTCTCCTTCTATCATTCCTAGTCATTGTCCAGCTATCTGATGCATAGCAAGTGATTGAGAAGACCATGGCATGTATCAGACACACCTTAGTCTCCAGACTGACTTCCTTGCACTTCAGCACTTTAGAGGTGTCATAATCTTGAATATGTTGTTGTTGTTGTTGTTGTTGTTGTTAAATACCATCTAGTAGTAAGTAAATCATAGCGACCCTATGAATGAAACACCTGGACACATGTATAACTTTCGTCCTTTCTCCAGGCTCATGGGGTTTCCAGAGGCAAGCTATTATGGAAGTGGATGCCACTCCTGCTTCCATGCTTGTTTTAATCAGGGAGCTCCACCTAATACTGTCCACCATAGGTAACCATTATCGCATTTGACTCATCAGTGTCACAGTGTTCGGCTTCACAGCAACAATGAGTTACCTCTGCACAGCAAGTGGACATACCAGGGTTATTTGACCTAGAAGAATGATTCACCAAAAACAATTAAAGGCAGGCCTGAGGTCTGTGAAATAGAGTCACCCACCTATATAGCTTACCTAAATTTATAGATGATCTCTAAGACAGATTTAATACACTGAATACTAATGACCAAAGACCGGATGAGTTGTGGGATGACCTTAAGGACATCAAATATAAAGAAAGCAAAAGGATAAGGACAGGTATAAAAGAAAATACTAAAATGTATGTCATAAGAGACTCTGAAACTTTCTTTAGAAGCTAAAACAAAAGAAAGAAATGTGAAGATAGCTGAGAGGATTTCAAAGAGTGAAAGCAGAGTGAAATAATGAAATGTGCAAACAAAATATAAAACAAAAGGAAGGAACACATTATTATTTCAGTTAAAAAAACTGAAGGAAAAAAAATAATACAAACCCTAAATTGCAATACTGAATAATTCTATGGGCAAAAGATTGAATGGAGTAAAAAGTATCAAAAGAAGATGAAAGGAATATACAGAGTGATGATAACAAAAAGAATTGGTCAGTGTTCATATGATAAACAATTAATGATACTGAATGAAGAAATCAAAGCTGCACTAAAATATTGGCAAAAAGTAAGCCCCAGGAATTGACAGAATACCAAAGGAAGTGTTTCAACAAAATGAGTCCAGCCCTTGGCATGCTCACTCGTCTTTGCTAAGAAATTTGAAAGATAGCTACCTGCCAACCAACACAATTCATCTTGGGCTAATTAAACAAACAAACAAAAATTATACAGCAGTATGCAAAAATTATTAAAAATATCAATAATATCATCTACAGTTAAATCTTGCTGAAGTAAATTGAAAAATTACTGGAACAGTACTTCAGTAGAGAACTGCTGGAGGTTAAATCTGGACATAGGAAAGGAGGTAAAACAAGGGATAGTCTCTGACATCAGATGAAGTTTGGCATAAAGAAGAGACTACCAGAACACTATTTTTATTTTGTTGTCTATACAAAAGCATTCCATTATGCATATTATAATACATTATGGATAGTATTCTAGTGGTTCGATGGCACTTAACAACAATAACAACAACATAGAGCTCTGTTGACCTAGTGAATAGAAAGTTATGCACTAAGTCAAAGGTGGGTGATTTTAATCTGTGATCTTCAGGCCTGATTTTAATTGTTTATGTCAAGCATTCTTCTACATGGTGTAGTACTGGTTTGTCCATTTGCTGTATGGAAGCAACTCGTGGTTGCTGTACAGAGGTAACACGTGGTTGCTGTAATGCTAAACATTGTGACACTCATGTGTCAAATGCAATAATGGTTATCCATGGTGGATAGTGTTTGGTGGAGCTTTCCAATTAAAACAAGCTTGGAAGCAGGAGTGGCATCCACTTTTGAAATGGCCTGCCTCCGGAAACTCTATGAATGTGGAG